TCTCGAATCATTTATCAATTTTCAAATGTTTGAAGCAATTACAAAAGAATGAAGGTAAAGTAAACCTTTAATCAACTATATAATAAAAATAGCTTGAGCGTCACAACAATCATAAAACTATAATCAGTCACGAAATATAGCAGTTGTTAAATGAAAATAAAAGGAAAAAATACAATATTTGTATTGCAAATATGTATATGAAAATGGAAATATTATAAAAAGAAAAAATGATCATATATTGTCATCCTATAAGATCATCCTTTTATTTGTATGGTATGATTCAGAAGCATCACTAAAATAAAAAGACTTTATATATATTTTGAAAATCTGAATCAAGCTTGAAGTTATGTGGTTGCATGTTTTGTCTTATCTATCTTTCTGAAAGTAATCGAAATCCTACACAATTTAAGGAAAAAAAAAAGTTAATAAGGAATTCAAGATAGATATTTAAAATTAAGGAAAAAAAAAAAGTTAATAAGGAATTCAAGATAGATATTTAAAATTACATTTTACACAAATAAATAATTCAAATAAAAAAGTAAAGCTCTCATTGAAAAATAAACACATAACTATGAAACAGTGAAAAATAGCAATTTATATATGTCTGCATTGCCGAATACATTCCACTAAAAACAGCCGATGATTCTTACATTTGTCCCATCAAGTGAACGGCCAAGTGAAACTTTTGTGAATGCTAATATATATGTTGGCATAAAGTCGCAATTAATGGAATGCTGTTTAATAAGGACAACTAAAAAAAAAGTAGAAAAAACTTGAGCAAATAGTATCTATGATATGCTATATCAAAGATATTAAATTATATATCAATATAAAATACAATATTTATATGAACATAGATGATTTATACTTCTATTATATTTGAATTAAGATAAATTGAATTACATATAGCATCTAGGATAAATTTAATCCTATCTTTCAATGAAAAAATATCAAAAGAAGAAAAAAAAATCAAATTAAAAAATAAGTACTTACAACCGATGAATGAAAGCCACCAAGAGCAGCGTATAAAAAAAAAAAGCTTGCCAACAGGTTTTTCCATACCCTCCATAAAACTTAAAACAACTCTCACACATCACAACAATTGAAATCTGAATGAGCCAAGGTTCAAAAAGTCTAGCTTTGTGCAAAAAATTAATCAAGTAACTTCTAACGAATGAGCATCTCAGCTGGCCACCTATTCCACGTGAATGCAATCCAACTTATTTCTATGTGATACTAAACATTAAGCCTATCATGAACAGTTGCACTTTTTTTAGGTTTAGTACTGTTGCGTCCTGGAGTATTCGCGACGGTAGAGAAATAAAAGTATGAAAAATTTATATATATTTTTAGTAATAAATCTATATTTTAACATGTTCATGACTACCCTATAAGAAATCATCAGTGAAGAGCTAAAAAATAAAAATAAAAAAAAATCATTAGTCAAGAGTTAGTACTCCATAACCGTGCTAAAACTTCATGATCGGAGGATAGAATGTTCAGCTAAGAAAATATTAAGGGTTTTACATACTTTAGAACATTTTGTCATCATTCTCAAACAAACAATAAAATGGGAGAAGTTTGAAAAAATTAAGCACACAAGGTACCTTATAAAAGTAGCCATAGTAATTGTGAATCTAAAAAATGAAATTTCTATCTATGCCATTGTACCATTGCATAAATTGCATAAATGTATAAACTCTCATCATATTTATTGGATATCCAAGTGCAATAGTCAACTAACAAATGGTTATTTCTTTATTAATGAAGAATCAAAATCATAGAATTAATATATATCACCAATCCATCATTCAAAATTTTATCTGAAGACTTGCTATCTCACAACGATAAAAGAGAAAAGCAAACCTGGAAAATAGTTATCGGTCTCCTCCTATGTTGAGCTAGTAGCAGACACAGTGAAGATCCAATGCTCGTTTCATGAATATTTGTCTGTGGAGGCAATATCAAATACAAATATTCAATAACATTACACTCGAAATGGATAAAAAGCAAATTCATAATGATACACTTCAATAAGGAAAAGCTATAAAATTAAAAAATGGAAGCACAGCGATGTGCACCCATTGATGCACTTCATAGTGGAGCTGATTCGAGTGACTTTACATCAAATTGCTTAACTTCAAAAGCGCAAATGGATAGAACTTTTGACAACAATGGGATAATTGTTTACATTCTATGTTGTACCAATGGACTATGTCATGCAACAACATGCTAAACAAATGAATAACAATATCATAGAAAGCATCACAGGGAGTACAAACAGCATTGCCACTAAGACGATGGAACAACATAGCTCTATTTTTATGCTACTATCATTCCAATTGAAGAAGGCCTTATGAAAGCATTAATCAAAGAACAAATCCCATAAAAGCTTTCGATTGTTTGAAAACAAAAGATATCAAGAAAGAATAGCTTGATTAAGATAGAAATAATAAATGTTGATTTGTACTTGCTGGCTTTTCACGACTTAAGCTAATTAATAACATTAAATGAATGCTGAAAGGATTCAAATTTTTGCTAAGGTTTACAGCACCACTACTATCAGTGGAGCTTGGCAAATCAACTTGAATGGTGCTTTTCCCTGAAAACAATAATTCATTAATATCATATGAAAAGAATTCAAATGGCTACCTCAGTAAATATCAACTTAAATACAGATAAGAGATTGCAAACTATATCTAAACAAAATAAAGAAAAGAGCTTGCAAGCAACTTATGATAAGTGCATTGACTCTTATTACTACATGGACTGTCCCATAAATGGTGCTTTTCTATAAATGGCATCTCTAGAAACTCAATGAACTATAATTGATTTGGTATGAGTCTTGATGCGGATAATTAGACTATGATATGAACCAAGATTACTGTTTAGTGTTGTATCATCTCTGTATGCTATTTCTCTTCAGGTTGAATCTATGTATACACTTGAAAATAGGGGAGAAAAAAAGCATCTTTGAAACCTTACTATAGAAGTATGAGGTAAAGATGGAGGGTACTGCATTCATCATTTAGAAAGCTTCTCTCTTCACTTTGTGAAAGACAAAGCCTTTTCTTTCGTCCTTTTTTCATATATTAGAGCCAAAACAGTCTGAAGAGATAGCGAGAAGGAGAGATACATAAAATATTTGTTATAAGAGAAATACAAGGTAATGGTGATAGGATTGAAATTGTTCGTTCAAAGGAGATGGCAACTTCGGAGAAGGAAGAAAGTATTGTTGAGGACAATAATATCGAAAATAATAAATTACAAAAAGAGAGATGTTAAAGATTACATATAAATCCAGAAGAGTCGGCAAGCTGTGGTAAGAGTGCAAGGATTGAGAAATTAGCACATGATTATTTTAGTTATATTTTTATTATTTAAATAAATAATTAATCCTGCTTTAAAATATATTAGTCATCAACTGGCTTCTTGTTACTCTTCTTGGTCCTCTTGATCATCTAGAGATCTAAAGTCATGTGGCTATCCAATGGTGAAAATAATTTGGTGTTTCTTTACAAGAAAATTATAGCTAGGAATAATTGTAATAATATAAGTGAGATTACTACTAATTAGTTCTTGTTCTAGACATCATAACATCTCTATGGCTATTATCGGCTACTTATAAACTCTTCAACACTCCTTACAACCCCACTTTGAATCACCTCTTTATTTATGTTGGCAATTATGTACCTATATATCTCAGATTTTTATTTATATGTTACTTAAAATTAGTTAGTTTTAAGTTTCCATACAGCTTTTAGCTGTGCGATCAAGGTTGGACTCCAGATTCACCGGTTCACTGAAGAAGAAATAGTAGACATGGGCGGATCCCCATATTAGTGAGGGGCGGCAAATGCCCACCCTCAAAAATATTTTTTTTTTTAAATTTTAGAGGGTATTTTTTGGAATATTTTGGATATTTTGGGTATTTTGCCCCATCTTAAAAATTTTTTTTGCCATAATTTTATCAATCCTAATAATTTTTGCCCTTCCCCTACCAAAAAATTTTTTTTTGCCCACTCTAAAAAAAGAAGCTGGATCCGCCCTTGAAAGTAGAGATACATAAATAAAAAAGCTAACAGACAATTTTAAAAAACATAATTCGGACAAGAAATATATTCAATTCTAAAGATGAACTTAAATAAATGATTTACATCATAAAATTAATTACCTAAATTTGAAGCCAAAATGGTGTCAAGATTCACAAGTTCGCTGAAGTAGAGAGCTGAAGCCAAAATGGTGTCGAGATTCACAGGTTCGTTGAAGTAGAGATCCAGAAACGAAAAAGATAAAGGGAAAACATGTGAGAATAATATATAAGGGAGAAAGAGAAAATGTGAAAGTCATCTTACGGCCACTGAACGGTCGGACGTTGGAACGTTTCGACGGTTGAATTCATCTTCATGCATCCAAATTAATTGGAAAAGGGATCCTGAAACGTTTAAGAAGTTGAAAACACAAAGGGCGATTAAATAGTTACTAACATTTAATATTTTTAGGGCACGAAACATACCGGAGGAGATGACAGCGAGCGGAGGCAGCGAGACGTTGAACAATTTCAGAAGACTGATTTAATTGGAGAGAAACCTACCTGACGGCGAGTGGAATCAGGTAGGGCAAGCCGAAGACTGTGGAGACGGGTCGAAGATGAAGTAGACCTGTCAATTTCGGGTTACGGGTCGGGTTCG